TCAAAATATAATACTTCATTTGAAGCATCTTTTCCAGCCAAATGAAGTCTATGTGATACACAATGATTAGATGACATGAATGGATTTATTTTTTTAAGTCTTGCAGCAACACCACTTTTATAGCCAGTCATATTAGATGCACCATCACTTCCAAAATGAATTATTTTTTGAGAAGTTATTTCTTTGTCATCACAAAATGATATTATTTGATTAAAAACATTTTCTCCATCAGTTGTTTCTAAATCAATCATTCCCAAATATCTCATGTATGGTATATTATCTACCATGTATTTTCCTACAATTGCTAAATACTTATTATTAATGGTATTTGTCTCATCAATCATAATGCTCCAATATGGAGATGAATTCAATTCTTCAATTAGTTCCTTTTGTATGACGGAAACTATACATTCTAAAAATTCAGATCCAGATTTATTATTAGCATAACTTCCATATGTTGATTTAGATGATGATGGCTTTGCTATGGATGCAGGTTTTAAATTGAATTTTTTATCATTAGTAACTTTGTTTTTTGTCAGGAACATTAAATTGCATATGTCAGGATATACTTTCATTGAAATATTTTTTTTTGAACAAAAATAAACAATTTGCATCAATGAAATTATTGTTAATTTTTTGGAGCTCAATTGATTTGTCAAGTCAATAAACTCTGTCTCCAATAATTCAAATTTTTTATGTGCACCAGAATTTGAATGTTTTTTAATTCCTGATAGCCTTAAATTAGATGAACCTTTTGCAAAGTTAGTATTCCCATTTTGAGTTCTACAGATTTTGCAATATATGATTGTTTTTTCATTTGAAACTTCAATTTCTAACCATGGATATAATTCAAGCCATTCAGGAACAATGATTTCTCTATTGTGTGATCTTTGTTCATCTTCAAAACTTATAGAATTATCACTACCAGTTGATTCATCATCAGATATTTGAAAAACTTCTATTAGGTGAGCTGGAGAATTATGAACTTTACCAGAAAAATCAATTGATGAAGTTGATTTTTCTAATATTTTATTTTTTTTTTGGATTCAAATCTTCACCAATGGACAAAACTCTTTTGGTATTTTGTTTATTAGACATTTTTAATAAAAATTTAGAATTTTTATTTTTTTAAGAAAATTTATTTTTAAAAATTTTATAGAGTAAGCAAGTAAACAAAAAAATCTCAACTCTTTGTTAGTAATATTTCAGAAAATTTATTTTTATATTAAATGATTTTGCACATAAAATGTTTCACAATTTTGGTGTAACATGCTGCGCGTGCACCCTGCGCACCCTGAATTTCCAACACTGGTATATATGTACATAAGAATTATCACAAGCATCGTATTTGATTGGCTGAATCAAGCATAAATTTCGTCAATTTCGTTAAAAGATTCTTGACGATAAATATGAATTTCGTCACCATTCTTAGTCGCAACTAGAAAAAAAGTCTAGTCGAATAGCCGCAGCTTGAAGTTTTCTAGGCGGCTTGTAACACCACACCCTGAATTTCCAACACTGGTATATATGTACATAAGAATTATCACAAGCATCGTATTTGATTGGCTGAATCAAGCATAAATTTCGTCAATTTCGTTAAAAGATTCTTGACGATAAATATGAATTTCGTCACCATTCTTAGTCGCAACTAGAAAAAAAGTCTAGTCGAATAGCCGCAGCTTGAAGTTTTCTAGGCGGCTTGTAACACCATGAGGGATATCACGTAATTAAAAATTACGAAACAAGGAATAATACAAAGAAAGCACCCAATAAAGTTATATCATTATTATCGTAATCACATTATATTGTATTTGGATCTCCGAGATTTTTGTGTATTCATACGCCTGTGACATATTGCTGTATGTAAAGCGGGGTTGACCGTGCGTGTCATTATATCCATCATTATGATCTCTATTGTTCGCGAAAGTTGACGAGTACCTTAGGAAACATGAACCACCATTAGCAATCGAGTCTATGACTGTTCTTGATACTATTAGATTCGGGGGAACTATCGCAACTGGGTGCCATGGTGCTATAACTGATTCAAGAACACTTGCTGAACAAGTTGTTGGTTTGGAAATAGTGACTAGCTCGGGTGAAGTACAAAAATTTGAATATGACCCTAACAACCCAGACGAGATGGAAGCTGCACGTGTCAATTTGGGTAAGTAGATAATGTATGGAGCATTGGAGTATTGGCCGATCCTAAAATAATATAACTTTAATCACTCCTATAGGACTCTTTGGTGTTATTTACAAAATATCCTTTCTTGTTAAGCCAATGTACAAACTTCGAATGAAGGATACTTACCCCGAATTAAAATCTTTTACTGGTGAAAATATTAAAGATTTTGTGAAGAATCCTATAGTTGACGGAGTTGAGATATTCTATTGGCCATTTAATGAATCACGTATTAATAATTAATATAAGACTGTTCATTTCAAACACAATTACATCTTTTTCAAATTTTAACATTGTTCCATCGTTATCAGGCCATTCAACCGACTCTTCGAAAGACAAACTTTGGATAAAAGTATGGGAAAACATAATTAACGATCAACAACCCAGTCTAAATCAAGATCAGGTAAAGGCGTTTCGCAGAAAACAGGAAGGTTTTAGTCGCCTTGCCAACGGTTTTTACAAACATCTTATAGATGATCCAACCAAGACTCCAAAGATCACACACGGTGCCGGACTGCTTAGGAAAGAATTTATAGACGATAAGATAAATAATCTGGTATGGGAGGTACCAGATGCGACCCATTACCAGGCAGGAATTGATAATATCCTTTGTCGGGATTTGGAATTCGCTATTAAAGCTGACAAAGACTTCGAAAACATCATCACAGAACTGAATTATATTGTCGATAGAGTATGTGTTTATCTATACCTCGGAGGAAGTTTTCTGCCATGTTATTTTATAGATTTTAACATGTTATTACTCTCAATAGATTTATGAGGAAAAACAGAAAAAAAAATATCCCATTAATTTAGTTGTTGAACTACGGATTCTTAAAAGCTCGACAGCTCTCCTGTCAACTGCATACGACGAAGATCCCGATGCCTATTATTTCTTTATCGAAGTTCTTTCTTTCAGATATTTCAACAAACATAATAACACCTGCATAGATACAGAATACTTTGAGGAGTTTTCCAATGAACTTGCCCAACGATGGATGGAAAAATATAATGCGAGGTGATATAACCTGTTCTATTTGTTGTGAGAACAAGCAACATGATTTTTTAAAATATTAATTCTCGTTATTTTCTACACTAGACCTCATTGGGCCAAATCTTGGGAAGATGTTCCGAACATTAAAGGTTATCTGCACAATTTGCTGAAAGAACGTATCCAAAGATTCGAGGCTGTCCGCGCAAAATATGATCCAACGAATATGTTTTTTGATAACGATTCTCTCCGCGAGGTGTTTTATGGACCAGGAAACTTGAAATAAATTTGGTTGCCAAATGTCAAATTATTTTTGTACTATTAATAATAAAATCATTAGTTAAAAAACTTTTTAAAGTGTCGTATAACTCTACTTGTCCATAATAGAAAGAATTTGGAAATATCATATTTCCGAGCCTATCGTTGCTAATACCATGTGCGACGATACCGATTCATAATGATCCGTTATATCCCATGATCGATATATATTATTTTAAAATGACTTTCTTCATGATTCAATCTTAGGTTTTATCTCACCCAAATTGCATCATTCTAACGATACATAGTCTTCTTTATATCGTAAATTAAGCCATTCATGGATATGTAACTTAAAAATTATAAATATTAATTCATTTTTAATGTGATTATGTTCTATGAAACTTCGAATAATGCAAGTTCGAATTCTAATTCTTCTTCATCCAATATGTAAAAGAAAATCTGGCTTTCCCGGTAAGTTTTTATTGACTATCTTTTGTTAACTCTATTGTGTATTGATTGATTAAACAAGTAAACTAGTAAAACTTAGATGTAAATTTCCGTATACAAGTCACTCTTGGTATGGTGGACTATTTATCCCAAATTAAAAGCTAATGTTGTGATTGTAGTAAATGAGTAATTGTAGTAACAAAAGAAGAATAATTATTTGCGGTAGTTTGAAAAAATTTATCAATTGTGTGTTGCACAAATCATTTTTAGCAAATAAATCAAAAAAAAAAATGATACTCAAGAATTTTCTTCCATTCTTGATAAATCAACAATTTAAATCTAAAATTATCATTAAAAAAGTAACAAAAAGAAACTTATTGACATGTGTTCAAAGAACCAAACCTCAACCTTTTCCCATTACTACTCCTAATGCAGCAACTAACTCAAATTTGATAATTGTTCAAAAAAGAATGAAGGGTGGTGCAAAGCAAGGTTCATTAAACTTATTTAGTTTCATCATTATTCATTTATGTATTTTATTAATAAATTAATATTATTAATAATTGTTTAGTAAAGAAACCAACATCAATCACTCAAAAAACTAAAAGCTACAAAAAACCAAAAGTTTCTGAGGTTCGTGTAACATTTACCTATCTCTTTATATTGACATTACATACCAACCAATATTATGACCATTAACACTACTATGGTTTAGGCACAAGCAACTATTGATTCATCTTCAATCCATAATGAAAAATTTGCCAAGAATTTGCCAATAGTTGAATTGGAAGAAATGTCATCTGTATGGTTTTTTATTTAATTATTGTTTAATGGATTGATTGATGATTTTAGAAACAAAATATTTTTGATCTCTTAATAATGTTAGATTGATATTTAGGAGGTTTTTGTAGAAGAAAATATTGGTAAAGTTTACAAATTTCCAGATCAAATAATTTCTAAAATTAAAACTTTTGGATTACCTGGAATGTTATCAAAAGAGGTAGATAATTAGATATATATCTATATATATAATATGACACATTTATATTTGGAAAAGAATTAATCAATATTTTCTTAGTATGAATTTGTAAGACATCCTTCTTTGATGATTCGAGAATCTTCAGTGGGATTGATTGATATTCTTAAAAAAGCATCAGAAAATTCTAGTTTAAAATCAAGATACATTTTAGGTAATGGACTTACCATTATTATTACCATTATTATCATCATCATTATCGTTTTTTTGATATTATGTAATGCAATAATTTTTAAATTATTTTGGTAAAATAAAGCTGGACCTTTAGGCTCTGGGAAAAGTGCATTGTTACTACAGGCTATCAATTATGCACTTTGCAATTCATGGGCTATTATTTATATCCCTGATGGTAAATTAACATATAATTATTTTTTAATTTATTATTACTATACTATTATTATTGATGATGTTGTTGTTGTTTAGCTATTAAGATTGTAGATAGTAGATATCCTTATTCTAAAGCTTTAGTGGGCGAAGAATATGTTCAGCCAACATTGGTTTCTTTATTGTTGAGTCAAATTAAGAAAGTCAATCGTATAATTCTAGAAAGTGTACGTCACTCATTATAAAATAACATAAATAATAATATGATGAATAATAAGAGAATGATAACGCTAATAATAACGATTATAATAATAACAATGATGATGATGATGATGTATAGTTGTCAATTAGCGAAGACACAATGAATGAATTCAAATTGAAAAATCAATTATCATTAGATAAATTATTGGAAATTGGAATTAAAGATATTCATCTTTCACAAAAGGTTTTCGAAAGTTTCTTAAAAGAACTTTCAAATAATGAGAGGTATTTTAATTGATTGACATTAATTTATGTGAAGAAATTAATTCTAAAAAATATTAGTCATAATTAATATTATTAACAATAAATCATATCTGTAGATTTTCAGTTTTACTGGCGGTCGATGTAGTAAACGCTTTCTATACCAATTCCGAATACACAGATAACAATGATAAAAAATTAGAATCTAATAAATTATCATTACCTCGTTCAATGTTGGAATATATTTCAGGAATTAAAATTTTTGTAATTATCTTATAATATACTAAAATATTCTAAATACTCTAAATATTGAAAGAATTATTAAATTTAATTTTTAAAAAAAAAAAAGAAAAAAGGTGCAATCATTGGAGCCTTGTCACAATCATATATGCCATATATCAGTAAACCATTAGAAGAGGCACTTAACATTAGTGAGTCATCAGTGTGGAATCCTCGTTCACCCACAATATTACAATATACAAAAGATTTACAACGATTTGATGTCAAAATGTATACTCAGAAGGAGGCGAAGGGCATTTTAGATTATTATTATAATACTATGATCAAATCAGGTGATTTTATTTGAACAGTCAATACTTATATTAATTGATTTATAATACTATTAATATGCTCTTTTATTTAAAATTGAATTTAGATCCAAAAGATTCATACTTTCTTAAACAATATTTTCTTACGAATGGTAATCCAAAAGAGTTTTATTTAAATTGTTGGAAAGGATTCACTAATTGAATTGAATATTATATTAACTATTATAAAAATTAAAAATATTGTTAAAGTTATTGAGATGTTTTTCTTTAATGTTTGCTGTAAGCACCCTCTGGCTAATAAACTCATTCAATTAATATAATTGACAGATAGATACTCGTTACAAGTGATCAGTGATTCTCAAGACAAGTTATTTTTGAAGCTATTATATTTATTAAAATTGATTGAACAAATTGGGTCCTTATTGATGATCAAATGAAAATTCAAGGTTTCTTCTCTAATGTACCTGTTCTAATGTAAAATTATACCAGAAATAGAACGTTGTCGCATGATACAACATAAAAAATTTTTCAAAAAAGATGGGTTGTGACATTACCTTGACGACTGCAAATGCAGAATGCGAATGAAAGTCCGCCTCATACACATCCTCTAAACAACAGAAACACTTTATCTCGATTTCCTAGTTGTTGTCACTCTTAGCGAAAGGTCATGACTGGCTAGACAGATTGCCATGTTTATGAGAATTGCAGTTTTACCAAATCTTAAAAGCATTGCACATGATTAGAAGGAAAACGACAAAGTAAAACTTTGTTTACGAGAAAAAGCCTTAGATGGCATTGATGCTTTTGTCCTCTGATCAACAACAACAATGAGTTCTATTATTATCTTGGATTCAATAATAGCAGTAAATTTAGATATATCGTTTCATTTAAACAACAACAACAGTAGTACACAGTAAGTCTCGGTATAGCGGACCTCGGTATAGCGGATGTCTAATAAACTCTCGGTTTAACGGATCAAAGCTCAGAACCGTCTATAAGTAAATTCTCTCGGTTTAACGGATTTACTAATTAAATCTTGAATTAATCTCGGTATAACGGATTTTTGAAATTTTTGTTCTAATTGCCCAAATTATCCGCTATACCGAGACTCACTGTGTATTGATTGTAATCATAATTAATTAGGTTACTGTTTTTGCAATGCTTAGATGAAGAATGTTCAGGACAACAGCAAAAGGATGCGGAGGGCAGGTTCTTGTTTTCTTCCTTATGTTTTTACTTGCTGCGCCAGCGAACAAAAATTTTACTTTGTTTTATTAAATTACAACTTTATCTATTATGTGTTATTTATAATAAATTTTAAATTATAGAACTTTAAACATTTTTTTCAGTACGGGGATCACGTTTTTATGGTAAATATTACAACAATCAAATAATCATACTTTATTATTTCTTCGGGCATGAATCATCCAAATATTATCTCATGCTCGTATTCATTCACGCCACTCATGTAAAAAACTAGGTTGTAAAATAAAGTTGCAGATGAACATCCAAAAAAGATCACAATTTAGCATTTGTTGTTAGTTCTTCTTTTACATCATCATCATCATCATCATCATCATCATCATCATCATCATCATTATCAACATCAATCTCAACATCAACAGCAACAAAGTATATCAAAAGCTCAACATGTGATGTAAAGTTTAGTAGCTAGAGCAGAAAAGTCTTCAAAATCTTATGGATATACATTAACATCAACTGCATCTGTAACTTCAGCATCATTATCATTATCATTGAAAGCAGCAAAAGTAATATATAGGTAAAAGTAAATCATTGGTAAAAATCCTAATTAATTAATTTAATAATAATACTTAATTACAAAAGGTAAAAAACATGCAAGTAAATGGGATATTCCTGCAATAAAACCAACATCATTACTGCCAACAACAACTACCAACATGTCATCATCATCATCATCACCGCCATCATCATCGTCATCATCAAATTCCATAATAATAATAATAATAATAATAGTAGTAGTAAAAAACAAAAACCATGAAATGTTAAACAAATTAATTCTTAATTTCAAAGTGATTCGATATTAATTATTGACAATATATAGATATTAACATATATTACTTATTAGCTGTTGTCATTACATTGAGAAGTAAAAATATTATATATAGGATTTTTATTATTATTATCTAAATGTGGAAGAGGATGAAGTAATAATTTTAAAAAAAAATTAAATATACCTCATCTAATTAATCTTTCATTGTAAGAATAGTTCCATTTGTAAAATCACAAAAGGCTTTATGACAAATTTTATTTATTATAATATCTAATGTGAATTTTATTCTATGATTAAATATATTTATGCTGTGGAATTAATATAAATAAGGTATTATCAATTAATTAAACATGCATATTGAAATTAAAATATTATTTAAATTGTAAAAGAAAATTTAAAGTATCTATTATTAGATTATTTAATGGTATTTTTGGTTTATAAAAGATGTGACACTAATTAAAATAATAATAACAGTTATTATTATTATTATTATTATTATTATTATTATTAGTAAAAAAATAATTGAAATTTTTTTTTATTCAGAAAACAAACTTTGTTATTTACCTTGGGATAACGGATTGTGATTTTAATAAAACTTCTTGCCACTCCGTTTCTGGGTTTGAAAGATCTATGATGGCACCACCAGCACCAACTGATATATCTAAAAAAATACATGCACATATTACATATTATTTATTATTATATTATATAAAAAATACATTTGGAAAAAAGTTTTTTAACACACCTTTTTCATCATAAATAATAACTGTTCTAATGACAACACTAAAATGAGCACCACCTCCACAGTTATTAGGATTATTTGGCTCATTTAATGAAATATAACCTAAACAACCAGAATAAACACCCCTTGGGGTATAATTTTCTAATTTTTCAAGTAATTGTACACTACGTAATTTAGGAGCACCAGTCATTGATCCTACAAACATTATAAAAAATTGTTAATAATAATCCAGAGTGGAAGAAGAAAAAAAAAGAAGTTATCTTACCAGGAGGAAAGCAATTTTTGATGACATTAACATAATCTATATTTCTATTTAAATTTCCTTTAACAGTTGTCACAAGTTGGTGAACACTTTTATATGATTCTACCTTCATCAAATATGGTACTTTGACTGTATTAGGAATACATATTTGTGAAAGGTCATTACGTATTAAATCCACAATCTAAAAATCAAAAATGGCTTATCATTATTATTTACTATATAGTTTATGTATGTAATTACTTTCACGATTAACTAACCATCAAATTTTCAGCTCTTTCTTTAACATTTCTTTTTAGCATATAAATTCTTCTTAAATCCTCCTCCTTTCTTTTAATTTTACAACACTCTTCGTTATCACATTTGTTATCATAATATTGATCCTTTGTTTCATTAGTCTTCTTCTTTTCACAAAAGCATTTATTTGCTTTTGCAACTGTACCTTTTATTGGCTTCATCTCTATAACTCCCTTATCATCTATTTCTAAGAACTTTTCAGGTGACGAACTTAATATTGATAAACTTAAGTTATTGAAATAAATAAAAGCTGAATAAGGAGCAGGATTATTTGATCTAATGTAGTAATACAACTCTAGAATATCATCAATATTTTTTAGTTTATTTGGCAACTTGGTATGAAATTGTGTTGTAAGGCATAATTCATAACTTTGACCTTCGTAAATCAATGATTTTGCTTTTTCAATAGTATTTAAATATTGATCTGAGTTCATATCAGGAATGAAATTTGTAAAATCAATAGAAACGTTATCTTTATTGTCTTTATGATTATTAAAAACATTATTATAACAACAATTATCAATACTATTATTGTTGTTATGATGGCAGCAGTGGTTCTTATTAATTGGTATTTCTTCTTGGTGTTTTTTTAGAGCAATTATATTATTTAAATTTTCTTCAATTGATTTTGTCAATGATAAGAAGTCAGTAAGAGAAAGTCCTGGGAAAATTCCCAACTCTTCTTCCAACTCATTATAATCTATCAATGAATTGCCATCATCATTTTTAATTAATCCAATTGACCATAATCTTTTTTTTAAGTGATCAAATACTATTGCATATGTTGAAAATATAAATGCTGAATCAGGACATTTATTGTTTGGGCCAACACCATTAGGAACAACCTTTACATAACCAGGCATAGATTCACATTTCATTTCATAGCCAAAATAACCAACCATTCCTAAGCGGAAATCAAATGGTATTATTAGATGCTCTTTTTTTTTTAATTTTAAGATATCATAAAGTAATCCATTATTTTTTAATATTTTTGTGATGCCAATATTTTGATTAATTAGTCTTGTTGCATTTGACATCCAATCCCAAAATGTTTGATTTTCTTCTAATTTTTTTGAAATAATTTTTCCATTTGTGCAATGTATTTTCAAATCTTTTTCTAAAGTGGAATATGACACTGAAAACGTATTTGAAAAATTTGGTGTTGAACCCATAAATGAAAATCCATTTTGTGAATCTTGTTGCTATTGAATCAAAAAAAAATTTTTTGAATTAAAAATGTTAAGAAAGAAATTATTAATAATATAAGTGTGTATATATGTATATATATATATATACACATACCATGGAATTATCTAACCACCATTTTCCTACAAATGAATTGTGCTTACTGACAATTTCTTTAAACACCAGGTATGGATCTAACCATTTATTCTCGTGAAATTGTTTCATTACAAGATAATATTTTGGTTTATTATTATTAATCCTTGTTATTGGATTGAAAATAAAAAAATTGGAAGGAATTACTGAAAGTGCTGAAATATTATATGGAAGCTTTGGTCTTGAAAATGTTAATCCTTGCTGATAATTATTAAAAGTGTTAATATTATTTATTAACATTATGCTTTTAGTTGGAATTGAAATTCACTGTAACCTTTTTTCCATGATACTTTTTTGTTATTTCGTTAAAATTCTTTATTATTTTATAACCATATTCTGTGCAAATAGACTATACATATGTATATTTAATATAGAAATTAAAAGATTAATTGAAATTTATTCTTACAAAATGACAAAATAATTAAATAATTAAATAATTCAATCTTGACAAACCATGCCTCTGGATGAAATTGTACACCATAAATCGGTTCTTTTATATGTTTTAATCCCATGATTTTACTAGATTTTTCTAAAGAATGACTAGATGATGGTGATGGTGGTGGTGAATATTGATTAAACGAATGATCTTTTTGTAAATTATTTTCATCAAAACACCAAGCTGATACAATTAATTCTGAAGGTAAATCTAAACAAATCAAATAAATTATACCAGTTCAATATTAAACAGTGTTAAATAATAAAATAATTAATAGTCATGATATTTACTTTCATTATCAACGACTAAACTATGATATCTAACTGCCCAAAATGGATTCGGTATTCCAGAAAATAAGGAAATGTCGCCATCTCCACCATCGTGATATATAAGGCTTGATCTTCCGTGCATAATCTTTTCAGCATTTTTAATCTAATTCAAAAATATAAATTTTTGTTTAATAAAATTATTTTAGATGATATATATTATTAAGCAAAGTTTTACCTTTCCACCAAATGCATAACCGATTCCTTGATGTCCTAAACATACACCAAGTATTGGGATGTTATTTAATTTAAGAATTTTTGAACAAATACCAAAATCCTAATTTTTTTTTAATTAATATATTGATTGGAAAATTTATATTTATTTCCAACACATAAATATCAAATAATATATTACCGATGAATTTTCGGGACTTCCTGGTCCTGGAGATATTATAATATTATCAAAATGTGGTAGAATGTTTTGTTCAAATTCAGTCCTTTATTAAGCAAAAAAAAAATTAACATGATTATTCCTTTAAAAAAAAAATTTTTGAAAATCATCAAACATTACCAAGAAAATTGATCATTTCTAATAACGATAACATTTTCAGTATTGTTCAAAAGTTGTAATAAATTAAAGGTATAAGAGTCATAATTATCAATTATTATAGTTCTTGGCGAATAACCTTTCGAATCTAATTTTGTAAGTGTCATTAGATATCGATAAAATTGCTAAATGTCCACCATCCTAGCACTGGCGATCGATCAACTTATTTGTAATAGTAATTGGTTACACCAAGGTTGTTTATCAATTATGACTCAGTAAATCAAATGTTTTTATTTATTTTTTAAAAATAATCATGGAACTAAATTATTCCAAATTCAAGAATAAAGGAAAAAAAGTTAATATTCTACCCAAAAAGTATTTATTATTTACATCTCTTGAAATTTCAAACGATTAGTAGTAATTTACTCATAATAATAATTAATTTGTCAATAGTGGGAGATGTTTCATAAATGAAATAGCAGTGGAAATTCTTTCATACATTTTTTCAAATCTCGATCCGATAATTTTGGTAAGTATCGGGAATCGAATTTTTTTTTAATATTTAATAAATATATACCTCTCCATATTAATCATCATTTTATAAAAACAAAAACAAAAACAAAAAGAGCAAAGCTTCTCGAGTTTGTAAACACTGGAGACTCGTGATAAGCGATGATAATTGCTGGAGAAATGCATTTTTACGATTTTTTGGATGTGCTCCATTTAGGTAATATATTTATCTTTTCGTCATTATTATTGCGACTAATTGACTAAACAACCTTTTATTTATTTACTTGATTTTGTTATATAGGAGATTAACTAAAGATAGTTGGAAAAATGAATATATTGCTCGAGTTAACTTGCTCAGGTATATATTTAATTTTTAATAATTCTGATTATATTATTATTATTGTATATGATAATGATGATGCTATTCATATAATATATATTTTATAGAAAATGGAAAAAAGGAAAAGGGTCATTAATAAGTTTTGATACAAAAGTTGGTAAAATTGATGATTTGTATGTTGATTTTGATAATTCTTGGATGTTGACAGGATCATCAGATAGAGGTTAGAAATACGATTGATTGCAGTGATTATTGATTTCATCCGTCTTCGCTATGATGTTGATGTTTTATATGTTTTTGATTAAAAAAATAGGAATAGTTGCAAGGTGTAACCCAAAAACTGGAAAAGTAAATAAAGATTTAATATCTACAAGTGGAAATATTGTTCGTCCAATTTCTGCCTTGTTAGTTGATAGGTAAGAATAATAATTAAAAATTATCTTTATTAGTAAAACCTTTATATATGCGTATATATATATTATTTTAATTATTTACTTACTAATTTTTTTTCTGATATATATAATATATAAGATGGGTTTATCTCCCATCATAAATTATTCATTAATTTCGTCCATTTCTTATTATTTTATATTCCACTTGTGATCTTTTTTCTTTTAATCCATCTAACTATCCACTCATTATATGTATATATATCACCAATTTCAAAACATCATAAAATTGATAAAACTATATATATATATATGTATAATAAAGAAATCAAATTCTTTGGGGTTACGAAACTGGTGAAATTGGAATTACTTTTATGAATAGAAATGCTTCAGAAAGATATTATAAAAAGCTTTATGATTATGGATCTCGTTCAGGATGTGTAACTTCATTGGCTCGGGACAGAAAATATGACAATATAGTAGTTAGTGGTAGTTCAGATGGTGTGGTAAAGCTATGGGACACTGGTAAATTAATGTGTACCAAAAATTTCAGAACCAGTAAGAAATTGGAGGTAAATATGATATGATCATCATCATTATCATTATCATTATCATCATCATTATAATAATAATTCTTATTATTTAAAGTCTAATAAAACGATTAATAGATATATATGTATATATATGTATGTATATATATATATAATAATAACATTTATTTTAATATATTAGAATGATGTTGGTTCAATTTTAGATTTAAAGGAAGACATTCGCAATGAGTGTGAGAAATTAGGAGAAGTAACGAACGTTGTATTGTATGATGTAAGTTTTCTTGGGGATGAATGAATGGATGAATGGGTTTATCGATCAATTAATCAATCGAACATTTATTTTTAATAGAAAGAACCCGAAGGAATTGTTTCAGTAAAATTTAAAGATCAAATTAGTGCTGAAGCATGCGTACTGGTATTTATTATTAGCAATTATAATTTTTATGGTCATTGTAGCTACGACTACTTGTGATAATCTCTATTATTATTATTATTATTATTATTATCTTTATTATTATAATAAAATAATACAGAAAATGAATGGGCGATTTTTTGCTGGTCGTCGTGTCGAGGCAGAAATATTTGATGGAAAACAAAAGTATCAAAAAACTGGTTCGAAATCCAATGAAACAGACGAAGAAGAAGCTACCAGACTAGAAAAATATGCTAAATGGTTGGAGGAACAAAATACTGGCACTGCTAGTGCCAAGACCAATACCATCAATGTGGATGTTGGCAGTGATGATCTTGGCGCTAGTGGTTCCTCTAGTGTTAGTAATCATAACAATCACAATAGTGATGATGGTATGAATGTTAGTAGTATTAGTATTAGTAATAATGATGTCAATAATGATGATGATAAAGAGTTGGTGAATGATTGAAAAAAAAAAGATTTGATGATTAATTATTATTATTATTATTATTATTATTATTATGACTATCATAAAAAAAAATTTATATATATACAAAATATTAAATATATACAAAATAAGAGTTCTTTTAACTATTTTTTGTTTAAAATGTAATAGTAAAGAGGGCATACTAGACAAAATGAACATTACGTCACAAAGAAATTTCAGGTATCAATTTAGTGCGCCCGTTTTCTATTTACGTTTACCACATTACAAAAATATAATGATTATACTGCATAATATTTCTTGAAAAGATTGCCCATAACTTCCACGGATTTTATTGATAAAGTGCTTCCTAGTTTTGATGCCCTAATAATGAATATTATACGCGAGTACTTGCTACTTTCCAATAATGGATCATAGTTCTCATTGTTTTATGAAATGTAAAAATAAATTAAATTAATAAAAATATAACCTACAAAAAATATCTGTACCCGCAATTTTATTAGGTTGGCGATTGAGCTAAATTATAGTCAATAAAATATAAAAAAAGTATAATTAAAACAAATACTCTTTTGAAGAAACAAAAGGATAAAGGTCTGTCTGATCTATTCGAGAATTTTCTGCAAAAGGATCATAATTGCAAGTTTAGTAAGCAAGGTAAAAGCCGACATAATGAGAGAGTAAAATTGTTCTTGTCTGTGAGCATTGGACAATAGAGAGTCAGAAACTCCTGATAGATTGAAATGGGCACCCCAAGGAATTGAGTCTTAAAGAGAAGAATTCAAGCTTGGAAGGATAAAAAAAAATGTCAACTTTATTAAATTGCTCCATCACCCCGAAGGATAAAATAGCATAAACTTCATCAAACATAAGAGCAAATAATCTAGTGAAAGAGAATCCTGAACAAAATACAAAGACAACAACCGAGAATAATTTGGTTAACGCTTTAAGAAGCTTCAGAAATCAAAATTTACTTCAGGTTGTGATAGAGAACAAAGATAAGCAATCTTGCTTCAAAACAAAGATATCTTTCGCGTAGAACTTGATTAATTTATTAATGCACAAAAACATCCTAATCGTTTACATGGCAAGTTCGCAAGGACAGATTGATAATCTTAATAACACTATACTATTTGTCGACAATTCCAAGAACTTGCCTCGAAAAATCAGACTAAACAATCAGCAATAACCGAGAAAGATATCTTAATCAATCGACCTCAACAAAGATCGAAAGAGGAATTGAGAGCTAAAAATTGACCACCAATCACTCCTACATATAATGGAGAGAAGCTATTTATATAAATAAATAAATTTTTCAGAAAAGAAACTTACCAAGTAGAATCAAGCAACAGGAATTTAGAAATTAAACAACTCAAGCTCAATCATTAGTCAAAGAAAAACCTCGAGTAATAATTCAGAAATACCATCAAAGTTAATATAGTTGGCTCAGTCTAAAGACCTCCTAAATTTTGTGCAAATTTTAAAAGTATAAAAGTCATTTTCTGTCCTACCTTTTAAAAAAATAGTTCTATTAGTTGATGGAATAGGTCTTTAATTTTAATGTAATAGAGAAATTTTCTCAAAAATTATTTGTCTATTCTTTTTTAAGTCATGTATATACTTTAGGATCATTGCTAAATTTAGACAAGACTCGACAATCATATCTAAATTTGGCCTGAAGAAAATGTTTGAAATTAAAACAAGTGCAAACAATAATGGAAGATTATTATAATGTCAACGTTTTAAGTGAATGAATTGTTTTTTTTTAAAATTTTTTACCAAATGTATTTTTATTATCATCATTATTATTTGCATTCATATTATTTAAAAATAAAATTATTTACGCAATATGTATCACATGATTTAATCAAAAATTTGATTTTTTATGGATATCTCGGTATTACGGATGACTCGGTATAGCGGATAAATTTCCTGGAACAAACATATCCGTTATACCGAGACTCACTGTGTATTAGGAAATATCCATATTCAAATATTGAAATAATCCATTTTTTATTAATATATTTACATTTAATCAATCATTCATTCATTCTACACCATAATAAGTACGATAAAGATCCACAACCTTTTTCCCTCTTGTTTTTGCTAAATCTTCAGGTAATTTTTGAGTTTCAAGAGCTTGAAAAGTAGCTTTTACAACATTCATTCCGTTACGTGATCCCAAAACTTTGGCCGCTAAGTCATGTATACCAACACATTTGCATATTTCATGTATGTAATGATTTGTTCTTATACCAAATCCTATAAAAAATATTATTATATAAATATAAATAAATAGGATAAATAAATAGATGAACGAAAGATGAATAGATATACCTGGAGGTCTAACCATTAACTTTAATTTAGTACTATGAAATTTATATTGAATCTCATGATAAATGGTTCTGTCATTATATCGATGAAAATATTGTAGGTTTTTAATTGCTTGATTTGTAGCTTTCCTTACAGAAGTTGCAGCTTCTTCATGTTTACCCTCACCATAACTTGCCAATCCATTACCATTACCCACCACCACCAATGAATACATACTAAATATACGACCTTTTGATGTTTGGTTTACTACACGTTTGACAATCAAAACTTTTTTTTGTAAAGCCCTTATTTCTTGAGCAGTGAGACCTGTCAACGCTGCTAAGATGTCAGTATCGTCGGATTCAGCTTCTGGTGAAACTATTGTTGATGATGAACGATATGTTGGTAGTGATGGTGGAGTGATGAACGGCTTTTCAACGTCCAGAATTGGATCGAGTTTGGATAGATCTTGTTACATAAATATACATAAATATGGATATGAATTGACAATAATAATAACAATTTTATTTATCAAGAACAATCAAATAATTAAAAAACTTACCGGTTTTAGGATTTTGAAATAAATGGGTATGTCCTAATAATAGAAATCATCTTAATTATCTTGCAAGAAAAATTAAATGAATATGTTATACCTGTATGAAAGGCAACGATCCTAACAGGGGATGGTAATGCTTGAAAAAAACATTTAGAAGGGAAAAGCTTATTAGGAAATGTATGATTAATAAGCCTGAACATATTAAAAAAAAAAGTGTTGTTTCTAGATGATGATTTTTTGTGATTCAGATTTTTTTCATCTGGTAATCCGTTAATTACTGGTTAAGGAAGGTCTTAACAGGTAACACTAGATTTTAGACACTGAACTCTAAATAAGGATCGGCAGAGGAAAAATGTCTCAAATTTTACTAATACTAATTGATGACTTCGTGAATAATATTTTTTTATTTTATGTTGTGACACAAAATACAAAAAATTTAGTTGAAAGAACTTTGATAGTAATAGCGAACAGGATTATTTGCACTTTCCTACTAACCTATGAAAACTTATAAAAGGATCATATTGTCAAGGAAAAATTGATTAGTATTAGATCAATATCAAAATTTAAAAGTGAAATCAAATAATTTGGTTGTTCTGATATTAACGATGTTAAAACTTGATGTTGAACAAATAACATTAACTTGATAGGTAATATGAAGTTATTAGTTTAACATAAATAAATATATTTACATTGAAAATCAAGTATAAATTAGCTATTTAATTAATTTTTCTTCCTTGTGCTTTTCCTTATTGGCCTTACTTTCTCTTCATTTTCTTCCTTTACTTTTTTTCTTGCCTTTCCTTTCTCCCTTTCTTTCTCTTTCTCTTTTTCTTTTTCTTTTTCTTTTTCCTTTACTATCACTACTTCTTCCTTCCCATTCTCTTCCTCCTCATTATCATCATCATCATCATCATCACTGCTTCCATAATCTGCTAACCCTGCTAATGCTGACTTGTTCTCTTTTTTATCTAATTTTTTATCATTATAAACTTCATTAGTTTGCCTAGAATTAATAGAAGAATTAAATCCTCTTGAATCTTTAGATTTCTAGTGTTTCTGCAGATACTATGGAGTTTTTAAGAAGTGGTTGTGTAAGTAATGTCTGCTGTAAACCATAATTATTATTATAATAATCATTGTCAATTTTTGTTGAATCAAGAGCTAATAATGGTTGTTGTTGTTGCTCATTATACACAACAGTTGTAGCTGTAGTTGTTGTAGGTAAAATAGTTTCTACCATAGTTGAAACTGTTGAACTAGCATTATCATTAATAGTAGTAGCATTAGTATTAATTATTCCATAAGGGTTTTCATAACCTTCTAAGCCATAAAAATCTTGATTTGAATCAATATCAGTGGTGGTGGTTATGCGAGGTTTCTTGTTAAAATATTCATGACCCCCTAAAGAAAATTCAACAGGTAAACTTTTTTGTATTGCTTGTACAGCAAGGGCTTCTGCCTTTCATTTATACTCTTCCTTGGCACGAGGATTAGGATCATCAGTTGCCCATCTAAAAGCATTTTTAGTAATTATTAATCATTAATATTAAAATATATTAAATAACAAAATAGCAAGCTATATATATATATTGTAAATAAATAAAGATTATAATATTTCATCATATCTTACATTCAGTATCTAATACCATAATATTATTACTAATTATTAGTGACTTTTAATACCATTAATATTAAAAATAAAATTTTTGAAGAATTCACTCACTTCATTATGATCTAAACTTTGATTTGTCATTGCTTCTTTTGCAAATTCTGCATTAAGCGGACTTTTATATGTTACAAAAGCTACACCTTTGTCTTTAATATTTTAACTAAAACATTTTGAGAGTAGTATAAAAAAAGGATAATTAGAAACATGAAAATATACGAAACACTAAATAACAATATATACTTTTTTTATACTTGTAAAATTTAAGTTTAAAATTAAAATGTTTAATTGTCTGTAATTCAAAATCATGTATTTTTCCGCAAAAAACATCCGCAAATTTGCGCAGCATCATGAAAGTATCCAATTTTATTGGTGGGTTGGGTGCGTGTTATCCTTATTTAGAAATTGATTTGGCGATTTTCGGATGATTTTTGCGGAAAAATACATGATTATTAGTATTAGGTCATTTATTAATAGTTCCAAATAACTGTCGGAAATAGTTGCATATCCTTCAAAAAAAATAATAATAATACTTTTGAATATTTTATCACGATCAAAAATATAATTCCAATTAATAAATGTAATATGTTTCAAATTTTCATATGCAAGCTAACTCTTGATCTAATCCAGTTTTGATGAATACTCTAGAAGTCGATAGTCTTGGAATTCTTGGCCAATGTTTATCATCATACGAATGACTTTTAATTCAAGTCTAAAAGACAAAAAATGATAATTCCAAAATTTCGAGATTTGGGAATGAAATAGATTTAAAAGATTTTATAACATTTTTATTCCTAATATTCAAGTTTAAATCCTTTAAATTTTGAAATGTTTGTATTAATAAAATACCTAAATTATTTATTCCATCACTTTATAATGGATTGATTATTTATTGTGAATATTTGAAATTGCATCTATTAATTTGTCTAAACAAATAATGTCACCCGAACTCTAAACTTTAATTTGATTTTGAGCTTCAATCAACCGTGCTGGACCATTATTATTAATATTAAGGTTATCATCGTAGCCACCATCTATTGCAAAAGATTGAATTAGAAATTAAAAATTATTAAAGAAATAACATTTCATTTCATTGAGATTCCCAAAACAAATATTAAATCTAGGATGATTAATTAACCAATTCGCAATCTAATTCACACAAGTTGAAAGCATGCTAATAGTTGTTGAGTGATTCTAAAATTAATTTATGGCTCTTTTCTCTATGTAATTGACTTCTATGACATTATTGTCATGATAGCGTGATCACTATTGGCTTTAATACTGTATAATGGTGGTGATCTATTCAATAGTTGAAAATTCAATTTGATATTATTTTTTTCTAAAAAAATCTTTTTCCTCTGTTAAAATCAATTAATTGATGTTCTGAAGCTTGCCTTTACAATATAATGTATCTCTTCGCAATGTTGGAATATTAAATGATTTTGCACATAAAATGTTTCACAATTTTGGTGTAACATGCTGCGCGTGCACCCTGCGCACCCTGAATTTCCAACACTGGTATATATGTACATAAGAATTATCACAAGCATCGTATTTGATTGGCTGAATCAAGCATAAATTTCGTCAATTTCGTTAAAAGATTCTTGACGATAAATATGAATTTCGTCACCATTCTTAGTCGCAACTAGAAAAAAAGTCTAGTCGAATAGCCGCAGCTTGAAGTTTTCTAGGCGGCTTGTAACACCATGAGGGATATCACGT